TGCTTTGGCACCCCACTGAGCCAGGACCACCCCTGCTGTGATGCTTTGGGGTGGTACTCCTGCTGTCACTGCCCACCATGGTCCTCCCGGGGGTGCTGCCCTTGGCTTCAGAGGAGAGCCGCTGAAAGCCGCCATAGGGTTGGGGTGCGACCTTGCCAAATCCACCGGAGTGGTGCGATGCTCCTGTGGGGAGCGCAGGAAAGGTCCGGTGACTCAGGTCATCGCGTAGGTCTGAACTTCAGACGGGGCCATGGGCAGCTGCTGGTGGCGTGGCGTGGCATGGCGTGGCGTGGGATGGGATGGGTGAGGGCCGGGTACTGGCAGCGCTGGGATGTGGTGCAGCGGTGGCGCGTGGGCACGCTGCTCTTCAGAGCCTGCCTTTTGCTGCAAACCCATGGGTGCTCTGACCCAGGACCTGTCTGCTGGCCCCCCAAGTGTTGTGCTTAAGCTGGGTTTGATTTTTTCAGGAGCTGATCCCACCATCAGCTGTGCCGGTGTGCTTCTCTCTGCTGATGAGCACATCCTCAGGGCCGGCAAAGGCTAAAAGGGCACGCAGACATCAGCTGGATCGTGCATCCTGGCACTAGGGCATTGCCCATCCTCTGGTTGTCCCAAATAGCCAACCCACTGTTTCCTTAGCCACGTTCTACGTTTTTCAATTAGCATCAGCTCTGAATGAATAGTGAAGGGGAAAAAAAAAATCTATTTGGGCGGTGGGGATGAGGAGAGGGGGACTATGTCTTTCAAAAACTGCTGTATTGCTAAATTATATTCTTGTTCTAATTTGCTGAGTCAGTGATCTGGAAAAAGGGAGAAAGGAAAAAAAAAAAGTTCATCTCTTCCAAAGAGTCCTAAAGCAGGTCAATAGACTCGGTGCTTGCAGCAGCCGGAGAAGTTGCTCCCTTCTCCTTGTGCTGCACTGGGTCTGGGGATGATAAATAGCACTGGGAGCCCATGGAACAGTCACCCCCTTGATTGCTTTCCCCACCCTATGGCTGGCTGAGAAATTGGAGCCACTGAAATAGGGCCCTTTGTGTGGTCGAGTTGGGCTCTGCCAAAGCCGGGTCCCCATCCCTCCTGGGCATGACCCTTGGAAAGAGATGTTGTGCTGGTGGGGATGGATGTGGGTTGCTCCAGGGCATCACCATCCCCTTTTCAGGGCGGATCCTCCCCTCTCTCAGGATACCCACTTGTGCTGTGTGTAGACCTTGGTTAGGGTTGGTTAAGATTGTGGCCGTATGTGGCTAGGACAGGGATGCTGGGACCCCAGCTGACGTCCCATGGTTACCTGGGTCAACGACTGGGTTGTTAAACCTCACCCCACGTCAACCAGCCTTGGTAGTGAATTGCCTTGGGCCAACCCTAGGGCAACCACCAGCACCCGCCTTGTGCTGGAGACCTGTCTGGGTGGTGGTGGCCAGGACACAGAGCTGCTGCCAGTTCAGCAGCTCCATGGACCACTGGTCCTGGTGGGGTGCCATCACATCATAGTGCCTGATACCAGGACAGGAGGGACCATTCAGTGGCCCTTTACATGGGGCTGAAAACTTCACAGGGTGTTGTGAAGCACGGTTCCCCTCTGTGGGGAGCTGTGCTGTTGCCCAGGAGAAGAGCAGCCAGGAGTGACTCTGGTCTGCCAGCCCAGGGTGTCCAGAGGCGCATCCTCGGAGAGCCCAGACAGAGGCCACAGCTGTGATTAAACATTGATCTAAACTCAAGCAGTAAAAAAAATAGAATTAAACCTTTATGGTGGCATAAAGAAAAACGGCTAAATCCCTGTGCCACCATTAAGCTTTATCTGCACATCTACAGAGCTCGAATAACCCAGTTGCCGCTGGTGTCCTGGTGTGGTGGTGGCCGCTGAGGCTCTAAGACCGGTGAGGCATGTCGGATGCTCGGGGAAGGCAGCAGCATGTCCCTGCTCCAGCGAGGCTCCTCGGGGCTCTGCCAGCCCCAACAACCCCAGTCAGTGCAACAACCCAAGTCGGTGCTAGGGGGGTGGTGGCCATCCTGGACGGGTCGCTCTGGGCTTGTCACCAGAGCTGTAGGGCACACAAAGGCCATGAATAGTCGGGATTTGACTCAAAAGAGCTGTCCTCCTTCTGGAGAAGCCTTGGTGAAGTGCCTGGGTGCCCCAGCTGGGGCTGGTGTGAAGGTCGCTGCCACCCTCACGTGGGTCTCACAGAGAGAGAGACTTAGCACCAAGGCCTGCTGAGACATGACAAGGGGCAACGGTTTTAAACTGGAAGAGGACAGGGTTAGGTTGGACATGAGGAAGAAAGGTTTTATGATGAGGGTGGTGAGACACTGAACAGGTCTCACCTAGAGGAGCTGTGGATGCCCCATCCCTGGAGGGGTTCAAGGCCAGGCTGGATGAGGCTTTGAGCAACCTGGGCTAGTGGGAGGGGTCCCTGCCCATGGCAGGGGGGTTGGACTGGGTAGTGTGTGAAGGTCCCTTCCAACCCAAATGGTTCTGTGATTCTATGGTTGTGGGGATGAGGGGGAAGCTATCCTGGGCATCCACATTAGAGCTGGTTGTCCATCTTCCTTTAGTAATGAAGGGACAGAAGTGTTTGAGGTGACCTGTATCAGACATCTCCTTCCAGACCCATTAGGAGGCCCCTCTCCCCTCGTTCCTCTCTCCTGAGATGATGTATCTGCATAGGTGGCCATTGCTGGTGTTTGCTATCTCTGCCCCACTGGTTCTGCATCCAGCACCTTGGGTGGGATCCAGCATGGGCGCCTTGCCGTGCCACAGCCTTGTGCATCATTGGCCAGAGGCACTTGTGTCTTCCCCAGACGCCTGGTTGCACATTGCAGAGACCTTTGTGGAAGCGGTGATGCCTGCAGCTCTCTGCTCGCTGACAGCCCCAGCTCAGTTTGCCCCGAGGACCAGACGGGCCGGGAGCAGAAAAAGGTGCAGTGCATCCATAGCCTACCTGGGTACCACCGTCTTTTGCCCAATCTTGCCCTTGGCCCCCCTCCTGTTGCCCAAGCCCTATGTCTGGCTGATGGTGCCTTTGGAAGGGAGTATGTTGGGGTCTGTCCCTCAGGGGTGGGGGAGACACTGCCCTGGTTGCTCATTGAAGCTTGGTGGGTGTCTTGATCCAAGAGAAGGACCCGATAAGAGCTGGCTGGGGTAGGGGACCTGAATGTGGTGTGGTTTTGACTCTTGGGACAACACATGAGGTGCCCCAGCCCTGCAGATGGTCTCACCGCTGGGAGCTGGTGCTGGGGCTGGCTGTCCCCGTGGCTGCCCAGCCTGCTGCCCCATGCTCATCACCGCAGCCTGTGGCTTGTTTTCCGTTGGCATCCCTTGCTTGTTTGGAGTTGTAGGAACCAAAGGATGCTCTGAGGCATGTCTTCTTGGTGATCGTGTGGCCCTGCTGGCTAGTGTGGCTTGGCCTTCTTGGGGGCTTGGCATTGAGAGGTGTTGTGGTCCTTGCATCCTCCGCCCATGGTCTCGTGAATGTTGCATGGGCTTCCCACCCCATCCAGCTGGGAAGAGTCCCGGCTTCCCCTTCCAGAGGCCCACAGAGCCCTTGGGGCCGTTGCCCCACACCACCTTTTGTGGAGGTGGCTTCGAAGAGGTCTCGGCTGTTGGGCGCTTTGTTGAATGTGGGAACAAGCCTGGTGGGACTCATCCCTCTTCCCCGTGCCGAGAGGTCCCCGGGGCTGCTCTGTTGGGAACAAGGCTGATCATCGTGGCAGGGTGGCAGTGGAGTGGTGTCCCCTGTGTCCTGGGCAGCTCCCAGGCCTGGTGGCCCTCAGCCCAGCCAGCTCACT